TCTCTCTCTCTCTCTCTCTCCTCTCTTTATTTTTACTAGCAAAAACTTTTCTCTCATTTTTTTGGGTTTAGATAAAAGCCAAAGGGTGAGTTGTTTTGGTTATTTTTTACAAGATGAAAAAGCAAAATGTTGTAAGTCTTTCTGACATTGATATCAGCAGTGATTTTGGCACTCTCATGCGCCATCAATAAATCTAATCCCATACTCATTCGTACAATCTCTTACCATTAGACCTACCATTTTCTCCCTTCACTTTGTAAAAGTCTTTTTACTTTTTGCTTCCAGCACACACATTTATTCCTTGTAATTTTGTTTTTGTGATTGTCCCTATGAATCTAATATTTGATTTTGATGTTGATGTAATTGATAAATAATTGTTGTCTTCAATACTGACACATTATGTAACTAGTAATAACTAATAACTTTCCTCTGACTCTGACACTGATATAATGCATACAAAAACTTAAATTGTGACTAACATTGAAACGCCTTCTCAGAAATGACAAGCCACATACATTTATACACGTAACAAGAAATGTATTGTCTCTAGCAGTTATACACATACCTTCAATATTTATGTGCGTAAACAGAAATCAATCGCTCTTGACATAATAATATGTACACTTTATCAGAAATAAATAAAAACTGACTATGCAAGTAAACAGAAATATATTATCACTGACATTTATGCTATTCATACTAGAAATTAATTTCCATTGATATTTATGAGTAACAAGAAATTAATCGCTGCCTCCATTTTATCATACAAAATCAGAAACTAATAATCAACATTTATACGTAAAGCCAGAAATTAAATGCCACTGGCATATTATATATTATTATGCGTAATTAGAATTTATTTGTCGCTGCAATTTATACGCTAGACTCAAACTTGTTGACCGTCAGCATTTAATATGCCTAATTAGATAACAATTGCAACCGACATTTATACGCTTTGCTAGAAAGGATTAGTTAAAACCAGCATTTATAAACGTATAACAAAATCAATTGCTATCACAAAATTTATAAGCGGCGAGAAATTAATTGCCATAAACTTTTGATATAATAATATGTCTAATCAGAATATATTTGTCACAGATATTTTCACAGTGACCAGAAATCAATTTTTTCAACATTGAAATAAACAACCAGAAATTAATTCCCACCACCATGTATGCAGGCAACAAGAAATAAATTGTCATTGACATTTTTACACGTAACGGGAAATTAATTTTTTATGTTTTACCAGGTCACCAATATTTTTACGCGTAACTAGAAATTAATAACCAAAAACACATATACATATTTTTACATCTTACCTTGAATCAACGGTCAAAAATATTTTTACGCGTAAGTGGAAAGTAATGTACACCAACACTTATACATATTTTTACGTCTTAACTAGAAATTAACATCCACCAGCACTTATACATATTTTTACGTCTTACCAGGAACCAATGGTCATCAATATTTTTACGCGTTACTATAAATTAATATCCACCAACATTTAAACAAGAATTCAAATACCTCTGACATGATTGATACTACTCTTAGCAACATTTGTCTTTGTTCTATAATTTTTACATTTTACTCTGACCCTGATATACTCAATGTACTATTTTTTTCCATCAACATTGACACATAACCAGAAGGTAACTACACTTTTTCATAAATTAATTTGTTGCCATCATTCATAAACTTTACTAGAAATTAAAAGCCCTCAGCATTGATACGCATAAACTTACTCAGAAATTTACAGCCAGTTATATATATATGAGTAATGTGAACATTTCATCAGAAATTAATTGCTACCAGCATTTGCATGTGTCATCAAGAATCAATTTGTCAGAGACAGTAAATGTTTACATTGTTACTTTGTTCACTGTATTCTCCATCAGTTGCTTCAGAAAAATGCTTGACATTTAATTGGTTCAGTTACATTACTACTTTTTTCAGAGAATACTTAACTTTTTACTGAGCTCAAGTCCCAGAACTACCTACACAGCTCATATTTACTTTGTTATTATTGGGTTCTCTCCCTTCAACAAAAGCTGTGCTGTCTATAATTGAAGACTAAAGTACCAGCTTATGTCACATTTTCCTAAGTATAGAGTTCTGCATTATATTATTATTCGAAAGCGGCGACAAGGGGCTATCAATTGCTAGCACTGACGAATGAGGCGGTATTCTGTTCCTATGTTCAGTTGTTCTTGTTCAAAGATGCGAAGCCTATGTGCAACAATAATAATATACCCTCTAATCGGAACTTTCTTGTGTATTTTACAAAAATGAAGGTTTTGCTCATTTTCTCGAAGTCATCCAAATGTGACTTGACCTTGGTGTTCTCAAGTCTTCACGTTTACTTGATGGTGTCATGTTATTTGTTCATGCTCTGTCTATCTGTTTTTCTGTCAAAAACGTCGTTGAAACCAGTGAGGTTATTTAATTAGTCTTTCTCTCTCTGTTTCAGTACATAATCACGTGCGTACAGTACAAACCTGCTTATCTACATCAATGTAGTACAACCCCGCCCCCAACGCTAATTCCACAAAAAAAACCCAAACACACAAAACCGCACACACACGCTTTCTCTCTCTCTCTCTCTCTCTCGCGCGCTCTCTCTCTCTCTCTCGCTCTCTCTCTCTCTCTCTTTCTCTCTCTCTCTCTTTCTCTCTCTCTCTCTTTCTCTCCCTCTTTATATATGTCTGTCTCTCGGTATTTGTCTTTATTCAATTTCTAAGAATATTATTATTTATTTGTTTTCTTTCCCCTCATGCGCATTATTCCTCCCTTCTTCCTTCTCACAACTGGGCCTACTCTCATACAAACACTCTCTCTTTGTCCTACCCCATTCTCTCTCTCTCTCTCTCTCTCTCTCTCTCTCTCTCTCTCTCTCTCTCTGTCTATCTATCTATCTATCTATCTATCTATCTATCTATCTATCTATCTATCTATCTGTCTATCTATCTATCTATCTATCTATCTATCTATCTATCTATCTATCTATCTATCTATCTATCTATCTATTTATCTATCTATCTATCTATCTATCTATCTATCTATCTATCTATCTATCTATCTATCTATCTATCTATCTATCCACCTATCTATCTCACATTTTTATTATATTCTTTTTCTTTCTTTCTCTCTATCTTTCTCTCTCTCCTTTCCTCTTTCTCTCTCTTTCTCTCTCCCCTTCCCCTCCCCCTCTCTCTCTCCCTCTCTCTTCTCTCTCTCTATCTCTCTCTCTCTCTCTCTCTCTCACACACACACACACATACACACACACACACACACCATCTGTCTATCTGTCTGTCTGTCTGTCTGTCTGTCTGTCTGTCTGTCTGTCTCTCTCTCTCTCTCTCTCTCTCTCTCTCTCTCTCTCTCTCTCTCTCAAAGAAACAATCACAATGCTCCTAAGGTGAGACCCCCCTCCTACAACCTGTTCCTGTGATTACACCACCACACTCCGGACCATTATCTCCTCCAGGAAGCGCCCTTATTTACATTGGCCTCTGCCTGTTGTCTGCACGAGGAACCACAAGCTACCTCCTCCGTGGTGACGTCACAGCAGCCATACGCCATGCTATTCTCAGATGGGTGCCCCAAGGGTGAGCCCTTTGGGTCCTGGGGTACCATGTGGGGGTAAACAAGTCGTCCATTATTTGGTTCAGTGTATGACTCACACTGGGACACACTCCAGCCCGCTTCCGGTTGCTTGTGGTGGAGGTATAAATAATGGAAGACTATTGTTTTCTGTCTATGGGGGCATATTAATATTATCTATCTATCTATCTATCTATCTATCTATCTATCTATCTATCTATCTATCTAT